TCTCCTAACAGTCTTTGAAAGTCATTAAGAGTCCGTAGGTGATCTCTCCTAATTTGTGCTTTTTGTGTCTTAATTTTTTGCAAACCTATTTTATAACCTAAATAATTAACAGAATCTCCCTTCTGAATCTTTTCAGGAGCGATTTGCAATCCCCATTTAGGTAAAAGTATCTTTATTTCTTCAAACAGTCTGTTCAAGGTATCCATGTTTGAATCGGATAACAAAATGTCGTCCATGTAATGTCATACTATAGATTTGGGAAATTTCTTGCGTATTATTTGCAATGGTTGGTTCACAAAATATTGGCACAGGGAGGGGCTATTTAACATACCCTGGGGGAGGACGGTCCAGTGGTACCTCCTCGAAGGTTGAGAATTGTTATAAGTAGGCACTGTGAAGGCAAATTTTTCTCTATCTTCTTTTTGCAAAGGTATAGTGAAAAAACAATCCTTTAAATCAATAACTGTGAGAGGCCATCCTTTTGGAAATAAAGAGGGCAAAGGAATTCCAGATTGCAGAGGGTCCATAGGTGGAATAACCTTGTTGATGGCCCTGAGATCTGTCACCATTCTCCATTTACCTGATTTTTTCTTAACCACAAATACAGGAGAATTCCAAGGGCTGGTAGATTCTTCTATATGTCCAGCATCTAATTGTTCTTGTACCAGCTGTTCTAAAGCCTGTAACTTTTCCTCAGCTAAAGGCCATTGCTTTGTCCATATTGGTTTCTCAGTCAACCATCTTAGAGGTAAGGCTGTTGGTATCTCTGAAGGGACATCAATTGCTTGTTCTTGTACAGTCTGAATGGCCGGTTTTCTCCGTTTGTAATATCTTTTAATATTATTCTCAGAAATATAGGCTCTAGAAGTAGCAGGAATGTTAATTTCGGTATTCCATTGTTGTAATATGTCATGACCCCATAAATTCTTTGCGATATTGGGTACATATGGCCTTAATTTTCCTATTTGTCTCTCTGGCTCTATACATTCAACCCATCTCGTGCTCTGCCTTACTCGAGATAGGGTTCCAGTTCCCAGGAGCTGAACATTTACATTCTGAAGAGGCCAATACGGATGCCAAGATTCTGGGGTAATGATACTTACATCAGCACCTGTGTCCAGCAGGCCAGTAATAAAATTGCCATTTACACACACTCTGTTTAGGTCTTTGATCATTTATAGAAGTTTGCCAAAACAAACGTAACTTATCTTTCTGATCATTATTGCTTGTAACAGTAGGCATGGGGCTTTCTAATTGTCCTGATGAGGCACGTTCTCTGCAGAAACTGGAATGACTGAACCATGTTTGCCATGGGGGCCTGTGAGGCCCCCCTTCTCACATTTCCCGAGTGTATCAGGTTGCCTTGTCTATCTCTTGTAGACCTGCATTCATTCGTCCAATGTCTGCCCTTTCCACATCTTCTACATAAACCTGAAGGCTGAGTCCTCCTATTTCTGTTATTTCTAGAAGATGCATTATTATTATTATTATTTCTGAAAGATGCATTATTATTATTATTATTATTATTTCTGAAAATCCGTTGTCTACAATTCCTTTTCATATGACCCATTTTGCCACAATTAAAACATTTGGTATTCTGGTGTCTCCTTTTACCATTGGAAATTGCTTCTTCTACCCGTGCTTCAGTGCCATAATCAAATGTATCAACATTGAGTGTATGCAAGACCCATTCTTCCAAGGGCGCTGATCTGAGCTTTAAAGGGCCCAAAATCCTTTTGCATTCCACATTTGCATTTTCATAAGCCAAAGACTCAATCATTATATGTCTTGCTTCTGGGTCAGATATCCCTATTTGTACAGCCTTAGTTAATCTTTGTAAAAAATCACTAAAGGGTTCTCTCTGACCCTGTTTAACTCTGACAAATGATTCCATTCTCTGTTCTGGGTCTTGTACCCTGTCCCAAGCCCTTAAGGCTGCTGTAGTACACATGGAGAGTGTGTTTTCATCCAAATTAGCTTGTTCCTGAGGGTCGGAAAAGAGCCCTTCACCTAGAATTTTATCTAGGGAAATGTCAATTCCCTTCACTTTTCCTGCTGTTCTAAGAGTCTAGCCTCTTGCCTGAATAAGCATTTCCATTTCAATTGCGGTCCACTCTCAAGTACCGCAGAGCTCAGCTGGAGCCAGTCCAAGGGGGTTGCTCTGCTTGTCGTGGCCCAAGATCTTAGCATCTCTTTAACAAAAGAGGCTTGCATCCCAAAATTCATGACAGTCTGTTTTATTTCCTTGAGATCATTCATACGGACAGGCTCCCATGTATCCTCCTTGATGACCCTAGGGTTTTTGGAACCAATCACCTTCTCTGTTGTTATTACTGGAAAGGCAGGTAGAGCTGTAGGTAGAGCTTTGTGGAAATTGTCCCGGAGAGATTTACCCACAGATGTAGTTAAAATTTGCCTTTCTACCCTTTGCTCTTCTTCATCAGAATTTAGAAATTCCTCAATCTTTTCAATTCTATTCACCATTGCCTTCTGCAATGTCTGAATCTCCTGTCCTGGGTCACTGAGGATTCTAAAGTATGAAGTTTGTCCATTAGAGATAACATCTCATCTTTGGACATAATTTTTATGGCATTAACCGTGCCTTCTTGTATTGACAATCTTTCTGTCAACCTGTCATAAGCTTTAGACAAAATCAGATTGTCACATTCAGCAGTTTTGATTCTCTCAGTTAATGTTTCATTTCCTACAGAAAGGGACTGAAGCTTACAATCCAAATCAGCTGTTCCCTCTTCCATAGTAATGAATTTCTCTTTAATATCAGCCACTAATGTTTCAGTTCCTACAGAAAGGGACTGAAGCTTACGATCCAGATCAGCTGTTCCCTCTTCCATAGTAATGAATTTCTCCTTAACATCAGCCTGGAGAACTTCAAACTGATTCTTGAGAATATTGTTGTCATTCTCAATTGTTTTTAAGCGTTCAATCTCTGCCTTAAGAATCCTGGATTCGTCTCGTAAAGACTTTATCATATTTCTATTATCAAACCATTTAGTGCCAATGAAAACTACGAATCCCAGAAGGATCCATAGATGTGGGGTGATAGATACTTCTTGTAAAATCTCCCACATGGTACAATTAAAAAAACTGTTAAATTCTTGAACAGTAATGTGTTCAGACATTTTATTTATAAAAGAAAAATTTTTTACCTGCAATGATCGGTTCCTGCCAGTGGTGGTCTCTGTGTTTTTGGAGCCTGTCCTAGAACTAGCTCTTGTAGACCAGGCTGGCCTCGAACTCACAGAGATCCACCTGTCTCTGCCTCCCACGTGCTGGGATTAAAAGCATGTGCTACCACCGCCTGGCCAGCCTCAAACTCACAGAGATCCGCCTGCCTCTGCCTCCCAAGTGCTGGTATCAAAGGCATGCGCCGCCACCACCACCCGGCCAAGTCACTTTGTATCAGACCAAATCTGCTGCTGTGCCGGCTTTTGTTGCAAAACTGCAGGTACTTGAGCTTCTGCTAATTCAGGCAGTGGGGTTCCACTGCAAACTTAGCCAAGGCAGGCAGAATGTGCCTGTGTGGCCGAGTGTGTCTCAGACTCTGCACTGGGGCCCGAGTCACAAACTAAAAAACAGCACCCAGGAGGGTGCTATGTTAGCTAGCGGGCTACCCGCTTGAGTCGGGGGCAAAATGGCCCACGTTGGATGCCAAAATGTAACGGCGTAAGCGAATGCAGACAGATTGTAAAAATATATATACAGTTTTAATGGAGAAATAGACTTACAGAACCACCGTTCCCGCAGAGACCAGGAAAGCAGAAGTAGCAGCTGGGAGCACGCTAGCCAAATTTATAGGCAAACGTTAGCCAGAGGCGAACACGCCCCCTTAGGGGCGGGACTTATCCCTACAAACTTGATCTCAGTAAAAGCTGTCAGTATTTCTAAAATTAACACGTGGATTTAATTCAATTCCAGTTTAAAAGTCTACTGTATCAGGTTAGGGAAAGAAATGAGGTGATTTTATGTTTTTTTGTGGGGGCAGGGAGAAGGGGAAGATAAGATCTCACTGTGTAGGCTGCTATGAAACACCATGACCAAAAACAACTTTGGGTTTATTCAGCTTACACTTCCACATCATTGTTCATCACCAAAGGAAGCCAGAACAGGAACGCAAATGGCAGAAACCTGGAGGCTGGAGCTGATGCTGCCTACTAGGCTAGCTTGCTCTCCATGGCTTGCTCAGGCTTAGCCTGCTTTCTTGAGGAACCTAGGACCACCAAGCCCAGGGCTGACATCACCTACCATGTACTGGGCCCTCACATGTCAATCACTAATTAAGAAAATGCCCTACAGCTTGATCTTAATTGAGTTTCCCTTCTCTCAGATGATTCTAGCTTGTATCAAATTGAAATAAAGCAAGCCAGGACACCACTCTACGTTAACACTCAAGTGGAGAGAGAATGACAGCAAACAGATTGTTCGGCCTTTCTCATGGCATATGAGACACTATGGAGAGTTAGAGGAGTGATACTCATCTGTGTGTATGCATGTGCTGTTTGGGCTGCTGCCTCAGCCAGGCAGGCTGGATGAGCCTCTTCCTGTCCTCGAAGAGCATTACAGACATGTGCTACTGCCTCCAGCTTCTCAGATGTGGGTTCTGGGGCCTGGAACACAGCCTCATACTTGGGTGACGAGTTTTACCTTCAGGGCCATCTCCCTAGATTCTCATATCTTTATGTATGGCTGTTTTACTTTCTTCAAGGAGTACATTATCTTTAATTGATTGAATACATACAATTTAACAGAAAAATGGTAGCCATTCACTCTGAAGTTATTCCATTTTAGTTAAAATTTAAAAGGGGTTATTATTGGTAAATTATAATTGAAGAACTCTCAAATTTTTTAATACATCCCAAAATAATGACATGCACTGTACCTCAGCTTTCCTGGATTTTTGGTGCTTTCTAGAAATACAAGATTCATTTTTACATCAACAGTTCTGAAAAAAATATTTTCTTCCCTTTCCTCTTCTTTCAAAGGTATGCAGCCACTTATGTATTCAGTTCAGGAAGCTCTAAACGCCAGACCATGGTGGATTCGGATGGGGACTGACATTTGTTACTACAAGTAAGTATTCTTACAGAAGTCCATCGAAAACAGTGAAAACAGGCTTAGTATGTGTGCTGGCTAGTTTTATATCAACTCGACAGACGCTAGAGTCACTGGAAAAGAGGGAGTCTCAATCGTGAAAATGCTTCCACTAGACTGGGCTGTAGGCAGACTGTAGTATGTTTTCTTAGTTAGTGATTTGGTGTGGGAGGCCCAGCCCACTGTGGGTAGTATCATTGCTCTGGTCTCCAGGCTTCTGTCCTGATGTCCTTCCATGATGAACCGTGATGTGGAAGTGCAAGCCAAATAAGCGGCCCCCCCCCAACCTCTCTTTCTCTTTCTGAGACAGGGTTTTTGTGTAGTTTTGGAGCCTGTCCTGGAATTCACTCTGTAGACCAGGCTGTCCATGACCTGTCTCTGCCTCTCGAGTGCTGGGATTAAAGGCATGTGCCACCACTGCCCAGTGGTCATGTTTTTTTTTCCACACAGCAACAGTAGCCATAATTTTTGTTAACTCTGGGAATTTCATACAATATATTTTTTTAATTCTAGTCAACCCCCACTCTTTCTTCTTAACTTCACTCCTGTCTCCCTAACACCCCAACTTGATCTCTTTCTTTTTTCCCTCTTCTTCTTTTTCCTCTTCCTCCTCTTTTAAAATAACTCATGGAGGCCAGTTTGTGCTGCCCATATTCCTGTGTGTGGGGGCATCCACTGGGGAATGGTGGACCTGCTAGGGGCCACACCCTTAAAGAGAACTGACTCTCTCCCCTTCAGAAGCTGTCAGGTGTCTATGGCTCCCTGGCCAGACTGGACACCTGTTAACCGTGTGCAGGTACCCTCAGCTGCTGTGGGTTCCTGAGCACAGCAGCCCTGTCATGTCCAGTGGTCACTGTTTGAGACTGGTGAGACTGGTCCTCCCAGACATTAGACTGCAGAATGTTCTTCTTCCTTCTCCTCTGAAGTGGTCCCTGAGCCTGTGTGGGAGGGTAGGTGTTGTGTATGATATAGATGTCCTGTTTGTGACTGTAGCTTTGCTGCTAAACAACCTGGACTCCTTAGAGTCCTTGCTTCCCATTTTACTCTGATGTTCCAGGTAACCTCCACTCTGTATCTTTAATGCTTCTTTTATTTACTATGACAATACATGACTCCTGCATAGTTATCAGCAGTTCTTTGCATCATTTGTCACTTAGTCTGGTTTCCTCGTGACCCCTTCATCCCGAAGTGCTTGTGCTGGACGCCTGAGGGCACTTGGTGCTCGTTTATGTGCAGTCCGTGTTTGGAAAGCTAGAAGGTATGGCTTGCTGTCTCACCGCTGGAAAGGGCGATTTTGTAAGTCAGTCACACCTTCTCTTGGCAGAAGGACAGCTTGCTGCTGTCTTTTCAGAGCTGTTTTAGTAATGCACACAGACTTTCAGATTAAACTCTTAAAATTTAAACTACACAAGTGTCTGACTCACAGTTCTGAGCACAACCTTGCACGTTCACAGCGTGGATTCGGCCTTCTCCTGTTTCTTTACTAATAGAATACCCTCTTCATGCTCGTAAGGATACCCTCTGCTGTTTGACTAGAGCCCACTGGATGTTCCACGTGAGATTCCAGTTTCCCTGTGGTCTTCTGTTGGAACATGGATGCTAAACAGTAGGGGAAATGCTTAGGTTTGAAAAACTCTGCATCCAAACTAACCATTTAACATTCTAGTTTTTAATGATCATTTCCCATCAGTCACACAGAGTTTTATATGCTCATAATTTTGGCCTTGATGTTTTATCTCTGTTGGATGCTGGCTTCTGTCCTGTTAGTTTTGAGTTTTCCATAAGTGGGTTTTGATTTTAATGTAGTCCTTAACAGCGCGGATATCTCATCCTTCTTAGCTTTATCAGAAGACGATGGCTTCTAGAATTTACACAGATTTAACAGCTGCTGCCGTCCCTTTGGAAAAACCCAGGTCTTGCTGGGCAATGGTGGCGCACACCTTTAATCCCAGTACTCGGGAGGTAGAGGCAGGCAGATCTCCATGAGTTCGAAGCCAGCCTGGTCTACAAGAGCTAGTTCCAGGACAGGCACCAAAAACTACAGAGAAACCCTGTCCCGAATATCAAATAGATAGATAGATAGATAGATAGATAGATAGATAGATAGATAGATAGATAGATAGAAAAACCCAGGTTTTAAGTGCTGTTACTTTCTGGGAAAGAAACAGGCTTCCTCTCAGTAAGGTTCTGTACACCCTATTTGTTAGCAAAATAAGTGGCAAATAAATGAGGAGCAGACACAAAGGAAGTGTGTGCCCTAATCTCCACTTTGCAGTGCTTGTAGTGTTTTAATGACAGCTCAGTAGAAAGGTGCTCCTGGACCACCCTTTCTGTTCTTAATGTTGGAGTAAACGAGGGGACCTAGGCATTGGTGGGCAAGGTTTTGGAAGACCTGCTCAGGCTATTAAATATTAAAACATCCATATTTCTTTACATTTCAAATCCTTTCATATGCAAAGTGTGTGACCATAGCATGATTTAAGTTTTTCTGTATAAGGGATGATAACAGGCATTTTCATTTTTGCTTTTTCTCTGGCTGTTTTGGGGTCAGTTGGAATTCAGCGCATTTTAGCATACAATGCTTAACTATTTTTTATGTTGTATGTGTTGTTGGGGTTGCTTTCCAGAAGCCTGCATTCAGTCAGGATTGGACACTGTTATGTCAGCTATAAATAGAACAAAGTTCTCTTCTGTCAACATATGTGTATGTTTGTTTATAGCCTGTGACTTTCATGGGACTACTTATGATGGCATAAATGCCTATTCAGTTAGCTGTCACCTCAGGGAAAAACAACTGTCAGGCTCCTTTTTGGACCTGTTTTGTGTGTTCTTTAGCTCTTAGTGCTTGCCATTGTCTGTGCACTGAAGACACAGAGATGGAGTTAATGAGGACCAGTGTGAATATGTAAGTGTGGGAATAAATGACCTGTAAGCCCTGTTTTTCCAAGAATTTTAGAACTTTAGAAAATAAGTTGATAGTGTATCCTTAAACACTAATGTCAGCAAAAGTTAAAAACTTTAAAGCTTATAACAGCCATGGACAGGGTGATATCCCACGTGTCCACTGCCCACTTTAAACTTACAACAACCATGGACAGGGTGGTACCCCACGTGTCCACTGCCCTCTTTAAACTTATAACAGCCATAGACAGGGTGATATCCCACGTGTCCACTGCCCACTTTAAACTTATAACAGCCATGGACAGGGTGGTACCCCACATGTCCACTGCCCACTTTGAACATTTACCATCATGTTGTCAGTTTTGTTTGTGTATTTCATAACCACCGGCGATGGTGGCGCACACCTTTAATCCCAGCACTCGGGAGGCAGAGGCAGGCGGATCTCTGTGAGTTCAAGACCAGCCTGGTCTACAGAGCGAGTTCCAGGATAGGCTCCAAAGCTACAGAGAAACCCTGTCTCGAAAAACAAACAAAACAAAAAACAAAAAAAACCCCACCTGCTTCCAAGTTGATTTATGTAAGTTCCTTCCTATTTATTTATTTACATTGTGGGCTGGGTTTTGGAGGGTGGGTGTACCTGCTTGAGTGTAGAGGCCAAAGGGCAGCTTTTGGGATTTGGTTCTTTCCTTCTAAGACGTGTTTCTGGGCACTGAATTTGTGTCATCAGCTCTGACATCAAGTACCTTTATCCACTGAGCCATCGTGTGGGCTCCCATGCTGAATTTTTAAAGCAATTGTCAAATACACATATTTTGTCCAGAAATACTTACCACTAAAACACAAAGATCCCTTAAGACCATCTAACCACCTTGCCATTATCATACATAAGAAAAGTTCTTAATGTCATCTAGCCAGTGTTCACATTCTTCCAGGGGCTATGTAAATGCTGCTTGTTGCTTCCCCCATTAAATTTGATGAAAGATCACACATTGCATGTTTTAAGTATAAAAGGCTGGAAAGTGATGTATTTCTACAACTGCTAGCAGGGAAGAGCAGTCATTGGAAAATACCCTTCAGAATGTTCCCTGTTAAAATTCTCTGAGGATGCTGCTGACTGCCCCTGCTCACCACACACCGTGACTCAGTGTGGGCAGTGTGTACCCGCCCTTCCCTCCCAGCGCCCTGTTAAACTGACTCATTTCTCATATAGGAGTTTTGTGTTTGTCTTGCTGATTGCACCTTTGCTATTAACAAGTGTATCTTGCTGATTTCTTGTACATTGTCAGTTAGATATAAAAACTTAACTTTAGGTTTATTTTTGGCAAGAACACTGCAGCCGTGATGCTGCCAGTTTCCCTTACACCACATTAGGAAGTATTAAGAAGCAGCATCTTTCCTGGCTATGTCCCTGTGGTAATCTCAACACTAACTATGGTGAAGTGCTAGTACTGTGTACCGTGAAAGCAGTCCTCAGCCCATTGTCCGATGGAGGGAGGGAGCTGCCTTTGATGCACAGCGTCAAGATCTAACCACATGGGATCTGAAGAACAAGCTGGAAATCACTGGACGGCACGGACTGGACGGCCTGCTCAGGGTAGCCTCCAAAGGCTCAGATGCGTGAACATGCGCTCCCTAGTTGATGGAGCTGTTAGGGAAGGGTCAGGAGGTGTGGCCTTGTTGGAGGAGATGTGTCACTGGGGGGAGGCTTTGAAGTTTCCAAAGCCCCCAATATCCCCTGTGTGCTCTTTCCTGCCTCGTGCTTATGGGTCAAGGCATTAATGCTGAGCTACTCTTCAGTGGTTGCCTGCCTGCTACTGTGCTCCCTGCTATGATGGTCATAGTGAGGTGGACGTTAACCTGAAACTGTAATCCCGGTAAACACTCTCTTCCATAAGGTGCCTTGGTCATGGTGCTTATCAAGGCAGTAGAAGAGTAATATCTGTGGAATAAAACAGTTAGTTATCCACTGGGGGGTTTTCTCTTTCTCTTTGAAATTCCACTTAATAAAATTAGCAAAGGAAAATCAGAACATCTATGCCTTATGCTTTTTAATTGCAGAAATCACTTCTCAAGAAGTTCAGTTGCTGCAGGTGGACAGAAGGGAAAGTCTTACTATACAATTACATTCACTGTGAACTTCCCACATAAAGATGATGTCTGCTATTTTGCCTATCACTATCCATATACATATTCAACTCTGCAGGTGAGAGATGCTGATTGTAAACTTTCGAATATCACTCTTTATTGTGGGTAAGTATCAGACAGTTGGAGATAAGTTGCTTCTGGTTGAATAAATAATCAGAGCAGGGGAAGGCTCGGGCTCAGCAAACATTACAGGTGGAAATGAGACGATGCAATGACTATGAAAGCCTGGGGCTGGTGGAGGAAGGGCGCTCACTGCACAAGCTCGAGGTCCCAGCTTTAGGTCTGTAGCTCCCACACAGGAAAAAGACCGCTTTGTGTAGTGAGCTCCTGAACCCCAGCGCTGGGAGCAAAAGCTGCTGGGTCCTGGGTTCTTGGCTCTGGTCTAGTCAGAGACCATACCTCAGAAGAGAAAATGAAAAATATAGAGAAGCAATGAATGCTAGACACTACGTGGCAGCTTTTGCTTTCACATGTACCAACATGGGTAAGCATATCTGCACACGTGTGCACAAACCCACTCCCATGCTTGCACACGTGTGCACACATGCCCACTCCATGCTTCCACACATCTGCACACATGTACACACATGCCCACTCCATGCTTCCACACATCTGCACACATGTAAACAAATGCCCACTCCATGCTTCCACACATTTGCACACGTGTACACACATGCCCACTCCATGCTTCCACACATCTGCACACGCATACACACATGCCCACTCCATGCATCCACACATTTGCACACGTTTGCACACATGCCCACTCCATGCTTCCACACGTCTGCACACGTGTGCACACATGCCCACTCCCATGCATCCACACATCTGCACACGTGTGCACACATGCCCACTCCCATGCTTCCACACATCTGCACACGTGTGCACACATGCCCACTCCATGCTTCCACACATCTGCACACATGTGCACACATGCCCACTCCATGCTTCCACACATCTGCACACGTGTACACACATACCCACTCCCATGCTTCCACACATCTGCACACGTGTGCACACATACCCACTCCATGCTTCCACACATCTGCACACGTGTGCACACATGCCCACTCCCATGCATCCACACATCTGCACATGTGTGCACACATACCCACTCCATGCTTCCACACGTCTGCACATGTGTGCACACATGCCCACTCCCTGCTTCCACACGTCTGCATATGTTTGCACACATGCCCACTCCATGCTTCCACACATCTGCACACATGTGCACACATGCCCACTCCATGCTTCCACACATCTGCACACGTGTACACACATACCCACTCCCATGCTTCCACACATCTGCACACGTGTGCACACATGCCCACTCCATGCTTCCACACATCTGCACACGTGTGCACACATGCCCACTCCCATGCATCCACACACATGCACACGTGTGCACACATACCCACTCCATGCTTCCACACGTCTGCACATGTGTGCACACATGCCCACTCCCTGCTTCCACACGTCTGCATATGTTTGCACACATGCCAACTCCCATGCTTCCACAAATGAAAAAGAGTTTAAAAGAAGTAGGAAGGAACATTTATGTATTTCAAATATCATTTGTACAAATTGATATTTATCCAAACTTTCTGTGAGCAAATTTTTACTAAATTGGATTTCAGTTTTCTTAATTAAAAGCACTAAATTTTTTTTTAATTTAAAAGTAGGAAAGTATGGCCTCATTTTGAATTTTTTTCTGCAGGAAGATTAATTTTTGGCATAAGAACTAGGTTTATTCTGTAATCCAAGACTCCAGTTTCTTAGACTGTGGATATAAACTGTGAGATTGCTGAATGTTTGCATTGTATATCAAAACTAAACAAGATAAATCAAGCCAGGTGTGGTAGATTTATCCTCACTGCAGAGTATCTGGTCTAATGGCAAGGGTGCTGAAGGGGTGGTCACGTACAGGAAGGGAACTGGAGGACATAACTGTACATCCTGGCCTGTAGAACAGAGGGGAAGAGCTGACGGCTCCAAGCTTGGCTGCTTTTCAGTAGAGGGTGGCATCAGGAGCCTTCCTGGCCTAAGTGACATTAAGTTAAGTTCTGTTTCAAAGTTCTTTCTCCAAGGAAAGTAAATATATATATATATATATATATATATATATATATCATACATACACACATATGTATATATAAGTATGTGTGCATATTATATATATTCATCATTACACATATATATTACTAACCTTGAAATCAGAAGGAATTGTTCATAATTTGTTATGTAGTTTTAGCTTGCTATTACGTGACCTTAGTTATAATTCCAACATTCTAAATGCTTTGCAAACCAGATGTTTTTCATGGATCAGATTGGCAGCTGAGCTTTTGTGAACTCATTTAGAATATTGGTTCCACTGAGGGAAACCCTGCTGCTGTGCTGTGTAGCTAGCAGACGACACCTTTCTCCCGTCCTGCACAGGTTGAGGCCTATATTTGGCCTTGAGGGTTTTAGAGAAGAGTTTTAGGAACTAGATTTACTTCTGGTTCTGTGGATATCTAGATGCGTTACTTATGTATATCAATAGGGAGTTTTGAAATGATTATATACTTTGCTTTTAAATTTTTGTCAAGATGCATCTTCAAAAATTGGAATCAGCACACAATCCTCAGCAAATTTATTTTCGAAAAGATGTGCTGTGTGAAACCTTGTCTGGAAACAGCTGTCCCCTGGTGACCATTACAGCAATGCCAGAGTCCAATTATTATGAGCATATCTGTCAATTCAGTAAGTCCATCTTCTTCACTCAAAATGTCACGCCCTCTCACTTGCGTTTGCTTTCTATGTATTTATATAGAAATAATACTGAGAGTCACCTGAGAAGATTAGGGCTCTAGTCTCGGTCCTCACCTAGTTGTAGACCTACCTCTGTGTCTCCCATGTCTCCTTTGCAGAGTGAGGTCAGCTGAGATCTCCTCTCAGCACTTCGTCGACAGCCATGCTTTTAGTTCTCAGGTCCAGGTGCTGAAGCAGAAGGGCCGCGGTATTTTAGAATTGAGACATTTGATAGCTGGCACTATTAAATAGCTGCTTGCTTTTTCTCCATCATTTAAAATTTTAACATTACTTCAGTTTTACAGCTGAGGTAATAAAAATAAGATCATAGTTCAATTTTTGATAAGTATTTCAAATTACCAACAGCAAAAAGAGATGCTGTGCATGGATGTGGGGTGGTGAGTCGTGTGATTGTGGGCTAAGTGCAGTGTTGGTAGATTGTGCCAGTGCGTATGACTACTCCGCCAGTCTATGCATGCTGTCCCGCTGTGCTGTCATGCAGAGTTAGTGAGGGGATGAAATGCAGTTTTATATTTTAAGCTTTACCAGGTGATAGTCCTTGTAAAACTGTTTCTCCTCAAGTTTTTTTAATCATTAGAAAATAGGAAAGTGATTCCAACAGTGTACATTATTGCGCTGTGTGTGTTCACATTCCAAGTTCCTTCATGTGGCAGCTTGCTTGTGTTTTCTACTGTAGGGCCTAGTGTAGTGTGTGTGTATGCACGCGCGCATAGTGAATTACCCTGAGTTTACATTGGAATTCACAACTGAGGAGAGTTCTAGACCCCAAAGTGATAAGTCGTTCAGGTTTTTAACATGCTAGCTGTTCATTTTAATTGAGATTTTATGTGCACTTTAGGAAATCGTCCTTATATTTTCTTGTCTGCTCGGGTCCATCCTGGAGAAACTAACGCAAGCTGGGTCATGAAAGGAACACTGGAATACCTCATGGGTAATAGCCCTACCGCCCAGAGTTTACGGGAGTCCTACATTTTTAAAATCGTCCCTATGCTAAATCCAGACGGTGTCATCAATGGAAAGTGAGTGGAGCAATAGTTACAGCCATGTCGTAGTTCTTAGGGTGGCAGTTATGTGAGTCCGCTGAGCTGGTAGCGTTCAAGTTAATTCAGAAAATGGATTTGATGATTTTTTTTCTAGAAGAAAGCAAGCTTTGGTGAGTAATTCATCGATAGACTTTTAAATGGCTGTGCTAGTGTTCTTCCTATGGAATGTCATTTCATGAAATCTTGAGTTGTTTTGGGGAAGCTGTGCCAGGTATGAAGAAGGCCTTTCATGCTTTAGTTCTGCCTTCTTCATACCAGTGTGGCCAGAGATTGTGCTGTTTGATGACATTAGTACATAGCTCCTGTGCACAAAGGGCAGCACATTGACATTTTCACGACTACATAGTTTTCATGTATTTGCCCTTCTCTGGTGGAGGACTCAGATTGCACGTCTACATACAGCTAATGCACTCAGCATAGAAAATTAGCATTGCAGATGGTTACTAGTTAGTCAGTAGAGAATGTGTCCATTGATGTGTTTTATAAAGTACAGAAGAAAAGCAAAGAATTCACAATTTTTTTATAACTTAAAAAACTTTATTTAAAATTTAAAACTTTATTTTAAAATTTGAAATCACCATTGTTACATTAATATGACATAAGATTTTACACATAGCAAATGATGGATGTGTGTTTACTTAATGAATACTATATATGTTCAGTTGAGCGCCATCTGCATTTACTTGACTACTTACTGGAATAAGTCATAAAGTTGGATCAGAAGGGTATGTGATGGTCTGTGGCAATTGTATTTTCTGTTTTGTGTAGTCACCGCTGCTCCTTAAGTGGTGAGGATTTGAACAGACAGTGGCAAAGTCCAAACCCAGACTTGCATCCTACGATTTACCATGCGAAGGGGTTACTACAGTACCTGGCTGCAGTGAAGCGCTTACCACTGGTACGTGGCTGTATTTGTACTTATTGATTAGGATAGTACATATTAAGTTATATTTTTACATTGGCATGCAAAGTGACATCTTTACCCCTGTATCATTAGACTTCGCTCTCTTCTGTCCTCACCTCCCACCCCAGCAGGTTCCACTACTCTCTTGACCTGTGTCCCGTCCCCCTTTCTAGATTGTGACCTGCATACATGTGCATATATTAATCATACATCTACACACACAGTTTTAAACCTAGGTTCCACATACTGGTATTTGTTTTTCTGTGTTTACTTACTTGTACTTACTGTAATCATTTCCAGTTACATCTATTTCTACAGATGCATACAATTCTCATTAAGAGTGTTGATTCAGGCTGGATCCTCCAGGAGTTCTGTTTTTAGTTGTGTTGAGAAGTTCCCATCATGACTTCCACAGCTGCTCCACACGTCTCTTTCTGAACAGTGAGCAGGGTTCCTCTTTCCTCCCTCCCTGTCAGCACCTGTTACTTGGATTTTAATGACAACTACCCTGGTTGGTGTGAGATAAAATCTCAGAGCAGTTTTAATTTACATTTCTCTGGTGGTTGGCTAAGGATGCCAAATACTTTTTAAAAAAATTATTTATCTTTTTTGTGGGAGGGTTGGCATTCCTGTCCACAGTGCAAGCTTGGAGGTCAAAGGGCAACTCTAGAAGTTGGTTCTCTCCCTCTACTGTGTGGGTTCCCAGGCACCTTTTCAAGTATTTATTAGCCATTAATATTCCTTCTTTTGAGAACTCTCTTTTTGATTCTTTATACCATTTACTGAGTGGGTGATTTTATTTTTTAGTAATTTTTAAAAAAATTTCTTTATAGTGTTTAGATATTAGTCCTCTGATGTGTAGTTTTCAAACAAAAAACAAAACCCAAGCTTTAGGGTTGGAGGGATGTGTCAGTGTTTAAGATCACTGGCTGCTCTTCCAGAAGATCCAGTTTGATTCCCACACCCACACGACTGCTCAGAATGATCTGTAACTCCAGTTTCAGGGCATCCAACACTTCTGGCCTTTGAAGGCACCAGGCCCACCCTTGGTGTAAATACGTACATGCAGGTAAAACATTTGTAAATATTAAATAATTTTTTTGAGACAGGGTTTCTTTGTAGCTTTGGAGCCTGTCCTGGAACTAGCTTTTATAGACCAGGCTGGTCTCGAACTCACAGAGATCCGAGTGCTAGGATTAAGGCATGCACCACCAGTGCCTGGCTAAATAAAATGATTTTTATAGCTTTAAAGAATAAAAATTTACGTGTTTCTGTGAATATATGACACACGTGTTCAGGGTCCTGAGCAGCTCTGAAGAGAGCCTGGGTCCCTTGGAGGCCAATATGGGTGCTGGGCACTGAGCCCAGAGCCTCTCAGAACAGCTAGTGCTCTTGAGCCTTCTCTCCAGCCATCTTCCTCCTTTTCCATGCAGACACTTTGATTTCATGTAATCCCGTTTGCCAGTTGGAATTGTTTCCTGTACTGTGCGGGCTTCTTGAAGTGCTTTCCTCTACCACTGTGAAAGCTTCAGGTCTCATGCAGGCCATGATCTGTTTTGATGGCTTCTGTGCCAGGTGTGAGATGCAGATTGGTCTTTCTAGAGGTGTGGAAGCCAAGATTCTCCAGACCATTGTTAAGGAGGCTATTGTCTTGGTTACTTTTCTGTTACTGTGAGAAGACATCACAATCCAGACCAGTTTTAGAAGACAGTTGATGGAGTTTTTCTGTCCCACTTGGTCCTACAGCGGTTAAGTCCCAAAGAATGACACAGAGGTCTATGTTAGTTATAAACTGATTGGCCCATTAGCTCAGGTTTCTTATTAACTAATTCTTATAACTTATATATTAGCCCATTATTCTTATCTGTGTTAGCCATGTAGCTTGGTACCTTTTTTGGCAAGATAGTCACATCTTGCTTCTTCTGTGGCTGGGTCTGCGAGTGCAGACTTAAACTTTCCTGTTTTCAGAATTCTCGTTGCCCTGCTTATACTTCCTTGCCTGGCTACTGGCCAATCAGCATTTATTAAACAAGTACAAGAAACAAATCTTTACAGGGTAAAAATCGTCCTACAGCATGTGAAACCTTCAAGGATTTAGCAATTCAAACATTAATTATAAATCCTTAACAAAACTTGGTTTTACTTTTTATTAAATGATGATTTTTCTAAATTTAAAGACCAAAGAAGACAGAGCTGTTGGTTGACTTGATATATCTGCATTTATTTGGTAATATATGAATCTAAAGATTAAAATTTTTGTTTTGGCAACTGTAGTTTTAATTCATCCTAAAGTTACTAAAGATCATAGTAAAGCATTCTTTCACAACTTTGAGCACAATAAGCTGTGTATAGGGAAAATGATTTTGTACATGGAATGGAGTTGAATAAATTCAGAGCCTGCAGTTAAGGGTTCACATCATCACTCATATCTTTAAGATGTGAGCATGCTGGGTCAGCCTGCAGATGTGTCTTTTGGAATGTGACATGTGTAGACCTAAGGCTTTAATTGTGAAAACATATGCTCTTTTTAAGGTGTATTGTGACTACCATGGCCATTCTCGAAAAAAGAATGTGTTTATGTATGGCTGCAGCATCAAAGAGACAGTGTGGCATACCCATGACAACTCAGCTCCCTGTGATGTTGTGGAAGACATGGGATACAGGGTAATATACAGTTCATGAATATTTGAATTTCAAATGCATGTAAGATATCAGAAAATTTTAATACACGTGAATTGATCAGATTCGATGTCTGCATCTTGCTATTTTTGTTTAAAGTTTTTATTTTTAGGTTTGCTTTCATATTGATCTTTGCTATCCATTTAGAATTTATTTTTGTATTTCGTATGGAGATGTGCCTTAGGTAGGGTTTTTATATTGCTGTGAAGAGACACTATGACCATATGGCAACTCTTGTAAAGAAAACATTTAATTGGGGTGGCTCACTTACAGTTTTAGAGGTTCAGTCCATTGTCATCATGGTGGGGAACAGTGTGGAGGCAGACATGGTGCTGGAGAGGTAGCTGAGTCTTACATATTGCAGGCAGCCGGAAGTCAACTGAGACACTGGGCAGTACCCTGAGCATAGAAAACCTCAAAGCCCACCCCTACAGTGACACACTTCCTCCAGCAAGACCATACCCACCCACTCCAACAAAGCCATACCTCTTAATATTGTCACTCCCAAGAGATTATGGGGGCCAGTTACACTCAGACCACCACAAGGTGCAATCTTATTTTCTCTGTGGATACTAGTTCTGTGAGCACAATTTATTTTACTGAATGGTAGTGTTGATACGTGTATATTCTGTGCTCACGTGCGCTAGGAGGGTCTTATCACTGTAGACATTCAGTTACTTCTCTGTGCCACCTCATTTTAATCATGTGAATCCTGACATGTTGTAGTATTCCTTTAAAAATTTGGTTGGCTGTGGTTTTTTTGTTCTTTGTGGTTTTTTTGTTCAGTTGTTGTTTATTTTGTCTTTATTTTCCTTGTGAATTCTAGAATATTCATTTGTAGATTAACTTTGAGATTTGAGTCAGAATAGTGTTGCATCTAAATTAAGTTTGAGAAAATTACTTAAGAGCATTTGTATTCATAAACATTGCTTGTCTATTTGATCGAATCTTATTTTCTTAATAAATTTTTTAGTTATTAGTTTTATTCCCAAATACTCTGGATCTAATTGCAGTTGGGATTAAGAACTTTTCCCTCACAAATCTGCTACCCCTTGGTAGAGCATTGTTTGCCTATAGGAAAATTATTAACTCTTTGACGAGAAATTGCTATGAGTTTTATGATTCTTCCAAAAGCATTGCATATCAAAATGTATCTTCCTGCCTATCAGTAAACGTGAAGGTGAAGTAAGACTATGTTAGACACTGAAAGTACCTGATATCTGCTTCTCAAATAACCTTTTCCCCGAAGCTACTGGGCAGTAATCTTCTAAAAGGTATTTTTTAAAGGATTTATTTTATTTTATGTGTGGATGTTTTGCCTGCATGTGTCTGTGCACCATATGTGTGCAGTGCCTGCAGAGGCCAGAGAGGGCACCAGAAGCACTGAAACTGCCATGCAGACTATTGGGAGCTGCCTTGTGGGTGCTGGGACCTGAACCCAGATCCTTTGAAAGAACAAGTGCTCTTAACTGCTGAGCCGTGTCCAGTTCCTGGAAGGTTCTCAGGACTGAGCACTCTGAAACAGAAGGCAGCTTAAGAAAACTAATGCAGGAGAAGCAGAGCAGGCAGCGCTGTGGAGGAGTCACAGGATCTGCAGTGTCTCAGCCCTCAGACAGGGAGGTGAAATAGGGAATACTTAACTTAGATTCTGGTAAAGAATGTTTGGAAGTGAATAGCAAGAGGCCCGAAACACTGGAAGGAACTAGCAAGAGACAGCCGGTTCCTGAGCTATTCTCCAGACATCAGCTTCCCTCTCTGTAAAATATCCAGTACTCTGGAGTGGATGCCTGCTGTGTGTGTGAGGGGACAGTGAGGCTGGAAGAGGGCGTGGGCCACGACGTGGGTACTGAGGGCCTGATGCAGGTTCTGCAAGAGCACTCCTAATCATGGCACCCTCTCTCCAGCCCACCCCACCCTCATGCCATCCCTCTTTACCTACACAGCAGCTTGATGTTTGTTGATTATCATTTTAGGTCATCATATCTGGATTTATCTCCATTATTGTATCAATTACACAAAATTCAGATTGTGCAGTTTCGGTTTACGATATTAGAGCACCCACTTGCATTTCTTGAATAGTCTCTTGTAGGTGGCCATTTGAATACTATTGCCAAATTCTCGGTAATACAGATGAAATCAGTTAATGCTTAGAATGCCACGAGAGGTGCTGCTGTGACCCACATCCTTTTTACTGCAGCATCTTTCCTAGGGAAACCAGTGCCTGGTTCTTTGAGTTTACATAGTGACAATTGTTAGTGAGGTTGAGGCTTTCATGTTTGCACATCACACTATCCTTTGGAAGTACTTTATCATAAGTCTGGCTTTTGTAATGTTCATGTAACTACTAGTATTTTAAAAATAAGAATGTTTCATATGTATTACAAACATATTTTCTAGGGCTGAAGAGACAGCTCAAAGGTTAAGAGCACTGGCTGTTTTCCAGAGGTCCTGAGTTCAATTCTCAGTAACCATATGGTGGCTCACAACCATCTGCAATGCGATCTGGTGCCCTATTATGGAGTGCTAGCACCAGAACAGTGTATACATAATAAATAATTAAATCTTTTTTATAAAAAAACCCCACATTTTCTAATTTTTTTCTGGTGTGTAATAATTTAAAAATGATATTTGTTGCCTTTCCCCTCTTTTGATAGCAATGGGCTGAGAACGTAGGGCCTTTTGTGTGTGCTTAGCAAGTCCTGTGGACTCCTGAACCACATTTTCAGCCCTGCAGATTTTTAAAAGTTGCTTCATGTTTAATTTAACTGGCGAAGAGTGACTTCAAGTTTTATACACTGACAACAGCTGAGCCCATGGTAGTGATGGTTGGCTCTTTCTAGTGCAGAGCTCAGTGTTTCCTGCATTTCTATCCACATGTGGGTCAATTTAGACAGAGGCCACATTGACATGGATGAGATTGTTTCTCCAGACATAGTCATTCTTTTTGTGATTTTTTTTTAGAGTTTGTTCACATGTTTACAATATTAGGTAAGCTTGATAATTTGAGTTAGAAAAAGTATTGGTACTGCTTAGATTATGATTTCATTAGTTGGGCTTTTTTTTTTTTTAAATCTTGAGGTCATTGACATTTAGTGTTAAATCAGTTGACCTTTTCTGGGTTAATTTTTTTTAAATTTTAAGCATGTTTTTCTTTATATTTTATTTGCTTATTATTTACTTGTGCATGTTTATGTATGTGTGTCTGTGTGAAAGTTTTCACACATGCATTTGGGTGCCCGTAGGAGCCAGAAGAGAGTATTAGATGGCTGGAGCTTCAGTTACCAATGTGAGTTTTCAGTACCGAACTCAGGCCCTTCGCATGAGCAGCAAGTGCTCTTACCCTCGAAGCCATCGCTCAAGTCCCTTTCTTTATATTTTTAGCCATGTTTGTTGTAGACACTTTTAAATGTGTACTTTGTACGTTGCTTGCTGCTATAAATGTGTTTCCTCACTGGTTACCATTTGGAACAGCAGAAGACTCTAAGTTAGCTAAGGTTGAGTGAGGGGGAGGAGCACAGATACTTAAAAACAAAGCAGTGTTTGAATTAATAACTTCTGGGTTACAATTTGACTTTTACAGACTCTGCCTAAGATACTGAGCCACATTGCTCCAGCATTTTGCATGAGCAGCTGTAGCTTTGTTGTGGAGAAATCCAAAGAGTCCACAGCTCGGGTTGTGGTATGGCGGGAAATAGGCGTTCAGAGGAGCTACACCATGGAGAGCACTCTGTGTGGCTGCGACCAGGGGAGATACAAGGTAAAGCACATGAAGATTCTTGTGTGTCTGTGTGCACACGTGCTCGTGAGTGCAGCTTCCGAGGAGGCTCTGGAGCTGAAGTTCCAGGCAGTGTAAGCTGTGCATGTGACTGCTGGGACCTGCATCCTAGTCCTCTGCACTCGTAACCACCGAGCTGTCTCTCCCACTACGGGTGCTTAGACATAAAGATGCTCAATGCTTCCTTTCATATACACTCTTTCGGTTTTCAAGTATTTGTTAAATGTACATCTGCCTTATTGAGCTATGTGTGTAACATATAGTAATGGGATCGAGTGACACAGCATGACAGTTTCTGGGTCAGAGGGTCAGAGTGAGGACTGCATGTATGTGGGTGTGTAAGGGTGCATGCCTGTCTCTGCATCCATGCCAGAAGAAGATGTGTGACATCTTTCTCTAAGGCAGTGGTTCTGAACCTTCCTGTTGCCGTGGCCTTTAACACAGTTCCTCATGTGGTGACTCCCAGTAATAAAATTATTCATTGCTACTTCATAACTATAATTTGCTACTGATAATTTATTGTAATTCTGTTTTTCAATGGTCTTAGGCAACCCCTGTAAAAGGGTCTCTTGGCCCCCAGGTTGAGAACACTGCTGTTCTGTTACTGTCCACTTTGTTCTATATCTCTCTGAAGTGTACACAAACCTTCCATTTATAGAACTAGAAATGCCTTTGGCTGGCCAGCCAATGAGTTCCTAGAATCTACCAGTTCCTCTTACCTCTCTGGACACACACAGCTGTGCATAGGATTTGAACTCAAGTCGTTGTGCTTGAAGATAAGTCAGTTTTACCCACTGAACCATCTTCCTGACCCTGCTTTTTGTTGCTTTTAATTTCTTTAAACTAGATCACTTGCTTAGGAATCTTTCAAAAAAAAAAAAAAAAAAACAAAACTAGATCACTTGCTTAGGAATCTTTAAGAATTTTAATTATTCAACTCTACTCAGATCCATAATTTTAAGGAAAGTACATTGGTACATTGGATCACACATTTATTTAGTAATTTATAAGAAGCTACACAAGTAACACTCTATTATAAAAAGTTCCTATCAATTTAGTAGTTTAAATATTTTTTATGAATTTAAAATAAGTATATTAGTAACTAGTTATATTTAAATTTGGGTGTGTGACCTTTTTGTGTGTGTACATACATGGCTGTGTGTGTGTGTGTGTGTGTGTGTGTGTGAGAGAGAGAGAGAGAGAGAGAGAGAGAGAGAGAGAGAGAGAGAGAGCGGAGGCCAGAGGACAATCTGTAGGAGTTAGTTTTCTTCTCTTACCAAGTGGGTCTCAGGATGAACTTAGGTGGTCAGGCTTGGTAGCAAATGCCTTTACTGGATGAGCCATCCCATCAGACTCGTTTTTTATTTTTTGTAAGCTTTTAAAAAACAAATTGAATACCCTATGGAGGGAAATGCTTCTTCCTCTGCAGTCTTACCTGTTTGCTGTGCGGGTCAGGAGGAAGGTCGTTCCCGGGTAAATTGCAGCTGTGCTAGCTGTGCTCTTTGCACTTGCAGTGGACTCCTGCGGGCTGACGACAGCAGCCAGCTGCAGACCATCCTTGCTGGGCTGTGCTCTCCTCCACACCACAGCTCTCCACAGCTCTCCATAGCCTGAAGCCTTCAGTTGTTTGGGTTCATTTTGTATCTGGAAAATAAATGATAAGCTCTATAGTTTGCAGTCAGTATTTGTGGTTTTATATGGTGACATTTAACATTTGATAACCTTATATTTGGGGAGCAGTTAAAGAAGGTAATGGGAATCATGTGTAATCTTCTTTTTGATGGAGCAGAAAAATTAAAACAAGCACTGTCACTTGACGTGGAACATAGAAATGATTTACTACTTTTGTTGAATTCATTCTCTTTTGTTTAGGTACTTACTTTCATTTCTTTTTACCAACTTAGACACTGTCTGAATATCTATAAGGCAGTGTTCAGAAGTGCATAATGCTTCGACTTCAGTACGAGTGGCAGCACTGGCAGTCAGAGCCATGGCTCACACGGTGTGTGAAAGGGCCGAGCAGACGCCGTAACAGTCTGCTCAGTCTTCTCTCAGTTTCCCGAGACCGGACAAGCAGTTTCTGAGGAAAAGCCACGAATAAAGGACAGTCAATTTGTAACACCCCCAACAGCCAAGAGGAGGCATGGTCTATGCAGTGCTGGGCTAGGTCAGGCTTGAGTCATCTCCACAGCAGCTCGAGGACCAGGCCTGCCCCAAGTGGAAACTGTAGCCCTGACTAACCCCTGACTAGCCCTAGTCAATTAAAATATACTAATATGATTTTTACACGATTAAGCCAATCATACCTAAAATGACCTACCTTCCTTAGATACTCAGTAAGGCTGAAAAGAAGCCCCCCACGTCCTTCTCGGGGTCACAGTCATCTTTCCATTGTGTAGGATGGTCAGCCCCAGCATGCTGGAATAATAATAATAATAATAATAATAATAATAATAATAATAAACACTCTGCCTTTGCATTAGATGTGGTCTCTTGGTGTGGTCTTTGGAGATCCAGACTCAGTACAACGTTAGGAAGACTTCAGCATTGACAGTCAGAACCACGGCTCACAAGAAGTGTTAGGAAGACTTTGTTTTGCACATGAACAAGAGTAATGTTAGTCAGAAAATTCTCTGCTCATGTATTCTGTTCCCTCAGATTGTTGGTAACGTGATTTGCGTTCTGGGTAGTGGCAGTATGTGTTCTTTTGCAGAGTTCAGGTTAGTCCCGCAGAAGCCAGAGCTGAGTCCAGATTTCAGGATATTCTTTTAGAGCTGTGGGGTTGTTGGGGGTGGGCAGGGGAAGGAAGATGAAAATTTGGAGTGCATGGCAAGACCCTGTCTCTAAAACAACTCCAGAGAGCCACAGTAAGATGCCATGCTGTAGGGCAGTTTGCTGTGTTTCCTAGAACACTGTGTGCCCCCCATGTCAGAGCAGTTCCTCCGCAGCGGTGGTTCAGCTTTGCTAGCACATCAACGTTCTTTGGATGTGACTTCAGTGACTTCAGTGAGCTGCAGCCGAAGGAGACCAAAGGTTCTGAGAATCTGTGTGTTTACTTTATTTCTAGGGTTTGCAGATTGGGACTCGAGAATTGGAAGAAATGGGAGCAAAATTTTGTGTTGGTTTAATGCGTTTGAAAAGACTGACTTCTTCATTGGAATATAATCTGCCCTCCCAAATACTTGACTTTGAAAATGACTTAATGGAATCCACCTGTAAAGTGACGAGGTAGGACACTCTTCTTTTTCCTGTGTGCTATCTGCTAATAAGACCTCTCAGGGACAGGCAGTGGGCGAGGGTGACAACCGCAATAGCCAAGAACATGTGTACAGTTAACAGGATTAGGTCACGTGTCTAATACTTGCTTCTAGCTGTAGTGGTTGATTCATTTACTAATGTTCGAGTAATGCTGCCATGAAAGAGCCGTCTGCATTGAGTTTTGCTTTTATAACTGCAATACTTCACTTTGAACCTGGAAACAAGGAACAGAGAAATATGGCATTTAGATAATATCTAACTTAAGAAGACTTGGAGTCATGTTTTATATTTCAAAAGAGATTTTATTTTATTAATGTATACATACTTGAGATGGCTGTCCAGTAACCTGATTTTATGTTGAAAACAGCTGAATTTAGCACACATTTGACAATTTATTTCTGTCAAATGGTTTTAAAAATAATATTCATTTTTAAAATTCATTGTGTATGACATTTGAACCATTTGTAAGCATAGAGTTCAGTGCTAAAGTTGTTAGTCATAGTGTCAGACTGTAGCCTTCTCTTCTGTGGTGTGCGTGTATGGTAAGAGTAGTCCCATTCTCTAGCACTGTGATGACTTGTGTTACTGGGTACCGGTTTGCCGTTGTGTTAATCCATCAGTGCACTGTTAGGTGAATCAGCACAGCAGCCTTGAGTGTAATGAGACAGGAACCGGGCTCTTTGTGGACCTGGTCACTAGACGGTGATCTCTGGCAGCCACTGTTCTTTAACATACTGCCCGACCCCAGTGCAAGCAGATGCAGAGTTCACCATGACTCAGTGGGTAGAGCATTTGCCATGCAAGCCAGATGACCTGAGTTCAGGTCCAGAACCCATATAAGGTGGGAGCAGAGACCTGACTCCTCAGTTCTCCTCTGGCGTTCATACATGCATGCCCACATGTGGTGCTAATACAAAATGTGGAGGGTGGTCAGCTTTCCCTGAAGTCAGACACTGACTTGGAGTCACAGTGTTACCATGGCCCATGGAAGGAGGATGCTCGCCTCCAATAGTCCAGAGGACCAGCTCTGTTTATTAGTGATCTACACAGATGATCACCATTTGTGCCTTCCTCCCAACACATTCATTCAAAAAGAAGAAATGTATATTTGAAAAGTCTGTTCAGAAGAATTATACTGCTAACTACTGCCATATATTTAACATTTCAAATTATTTATCAGTATAACTGTTTCCTTTTGTAAGTGTGTTTGTTTACTTCTGTATCATGGGGAGTTCATCCTGTATCAGACTCTCTTGAGAGGGTGTAGTACAAGAACAGGTTGAGCATATCTGATTCTCACCACTATATAAACATCTGTATATCTACTATAAAAATATCCAGCAGTCTTCAGTTAAGATGGGGTGTTTTCTCTGACAGTCTGCAGCTGAGATGTAATGATTCTGTGTGTATTTTCACCCTCTTTCTGCCCTTAAGAACTCAGCTACCTCTTTCCCTGCCTATCATTCTTAGTCTGTCTCAGATTAGTTTTCCCCTAACTTCTGATTTTTTTTTCCCTTAAGTTTTATACCTTAAGGCTTCCGTAGTTTTCAGGTCCTCGGTCTGAATTTTCCTCCATCTCTTAATGTACCTAGGCCATTCATCTTAGGCAAGCGTACTGCGGATGCTGGGTTCTCCTGTGGCATTCTGGTCTGCTGTGTAGCTTTGCTTTCTCCTGTTGTTCAGAACCTTCCCTCTGGTCACCTGTTAAGATGGATTGCTGAAGTTTCCCATTGCAAATGTAGTTTTTCCCTGTTAGTAATTAGAAAGGTTTTTTTCATTGGGATTACTTTACAGCTATGCCTGTGTCCTCTTTCTCATCAAACTTTTAGTTTATTCATTTTTAGATGTGTGTGTGTGTGTGTGTGCGCGCGCACATGCGCGGTGGATTTATAATTTAAAGTTTAATTCACTCTAACTACAACTACCGTTAGTTCATCTTGGTGCTCAGAATGGCCCTGTTCCCTTCACAGAACTTTTGTATGTTTATGCATGTCCACCATGTTCGCTGGTCCATTCCCCTTGGGCCCGTCTTGTGCATAGTTTTTCCTAAGGTTGGAGTTAGCCACTGTTTCTAGCCTGTCCTGATGATTTGTAAGTTAAAGTAGTATTTATATCAATGTGTAGTGATAGTTTTATTTATTGCTTCTTTGCCATCACTGTTCTTAAGTTCTCTTAGGCAATACTCTCTATTCAAATAATTACACCCACGGGTATCCATATGTACATGTGTGCTTACACAAACAACACCTTTACATCTAATCATACAGCATAGACTTAACTTTGTTTTAAAATTTCTAGCTCAGTTCAGTGACAGTGAGAATCGGCATTCCCATCCTTACTTCTAACCTCTGCTAATTTGATCTCCCTTGCTCTGCCTTCCTTTCCTTTCTGAGATTTCTTGGGAAAATATGTCTTGTGCTGTCCTTGCCTGGCAGTGTTGCTGTTCCCTGACTGATCATGCTGTACTGATGAGCCCTTAGGTTTAAGTGTTAGCTGCAAGTTCTGGTGGAAAGTGTTGCAGCTACCTTGTGGTGAGGGTAGAATACACAGAAGGAATTATTTGAGGGAGCTGCTGGGTGCTGGAAGGATCATTACATTTCTGAGGTGACTACTGTAAGAATATGCAGAAAAATCCATGAAAACCCTACACTGGGGAGTTTCTCTGTTGATCAAGTGCTTTCTGTGCAAGCATGAGCCCTAACTTCAGATCCGCAGCTCGCACAGCGTGTGCACGTCATCCCAGCACGGGCCATCCAGCCCAGCTGTCAATGAGCTTGTGTCTCTGTCTCAAAAACTAAGGTGGAGACCAGTTGGGGTAGACTTGTGACATACACCTGCGTGCCTGTTTGCACACATACACATCACATACACACTTGCACACTTGTATGCTTTATTTTGTACCTGGAATGGGACTGATTGGACTGATTGTTGCCTGGAAACCTTTTCCTAAATTGCACTGTGTTTTAAATACACTGACAATGAACTTCCTGGCCTTAGACTCCCTGAAGTCTGATCCAGGCTGACAAATCAAAATCAATCTGTACCAGATTTTCATCATTCTTCTTCCTTTTTTTTTTTGTTTTTTTGTTTTTAGAGTCAGTGTTTCTTTGTGTAACAATTCTAGCTGTCCTGGAACTAGCTCTTGTAGACCAGGCTGGCCTTGAACTCACAGAGATGCGCCTGCCTCTGGCTTCTGAGATTAAAGGCATGCGCCACCACCGCCCAGCCAGGGTTTTCTTTTTTTTTTTTTTATAAATTTATTTATTTATTAAAGATTTCTGTCTCTTCCCAGCCACCGCCTCCCATTTCCCTCCCCCTCCCCCAATTAAGTCCCCCCCCCCTCAGCCCGAAAAGCAATCAGGGTTCCCTGTCCTGTGGGAAGTCCAAGGAACCCCCCACCTCCATCCAGGTCTAGTAAGTTGAGCATCCAAACTGCCTAGGCTCCCACAAAGCCAGTACGTGCAGTAGGATCAGAAACCCATTGCCATTGTTCTTGAGTTCTCAGTAGTCCTCATTGTCCACTATGTTCAGAGAGTCCGGTTTTATCCCATGCTTTTCCAGACCCAGGCCAGCTGGTCTTGGTGAGTTCCCAGTAGAACATCCCCATTGTCTCAGTGTGTGGGTGCACCCCTCATGGTCCTGAGCTCTCTCTCCTTCTGCTCCTGATTTGGACCTTGAGAATTCAGTCCTGTGCTCCAATGTGGGTCTCTGTCTCTGTCTCCTTTCATCGCTTGCTGAAGGTTAATATTCAGGAGGATGCCTATATGTTTTTCTTTGGGTTCTCCTTATTTAGCTTCTCTAGGATCACTAATTATAGGCTCAATGTCCTTGGTTTATGGCTAGAAACCAAATATGAGTGAGTACATCCCATGTTCCTCTTTTTGTGTCTGGCTTACCTCACTCAGGATAGTGTTTTCTATTTCCATCCATTTGTATGCAAAATTCAAGAAGTCCTTGTTTCTTACTGCTGAGTAATACTCTATTATGTATATATTCCATACTTTCTTCATCCATTCTTCCATTGAAGGGCATCCAGGGTTTTCATTCTTACTCTGTTTGCTTCTCTAGATGACACCTGCAGGAACTCCTCATGGAGTTATTTGGACATGTTGCTAATTTTTTTTTAATATTTTTTTTATTGAGAAAAGGAGAAAAAAGAACAAAAACAAAAACAAAAAACAAGTTTCCACCTCCTCCCAGCCTCCCATTTCCCTCCCCTTCCTCCCACCCTTCTCCCCCTCCTCCCATCTTTCTCCCCCTCCTCTCACTCCTCACCCCCTCCCTCTCCAGTCCAAAGAGCAGTCCGGGTTCCCTGCCCTGTGGTAAGTCCTAGGTCCTCCCCCCTCCGTCCATATCTAGGCAGGTGAACATCCAAACTGGCTAGGCTCCCACAAAGCCAGCACATTAAGTAGGATCAAAACCCTGTGCCATTGTCCTTGGTGTCTGATCAGCCCTCATTGTTCTCCATGTTCAGAGAGTCCAGTTTTATTCCATGCTTTTTCAGTCCCAGTCCAGCTGGCCTTGGTGAGCTCCCAGTAGATCAGCTCCACTGTCTCTGTGGGTGGGTGCACCCCTCGGGGCCCCGACTTCTTTGCTCATGTTCTCCCTCCTTCTGCTCCTCATTGGGACCTTGGGAGCTCAGTCCAGTGCTCCAGTGTGGGTCTCTGTCTCTATCTCCATCCATCACCAGATGAAGGTTCTATGATGATATACAAGATATTCGTCAGTATTTTAGACTAGGGCTTGGCTGAGAATAGGCAAGGTTTGGTAAAGAAATAACAGCTAAACTTAAACCAACAAAATTAGCAATTTTAAATACTCTAATCTGGGTCCAGTGGACCTTAGTGCTAGAAACCCAAAAGAAAACGTATCAAAAAAAAATGTTTTCTGTATAATGATGATTGTGGCTTTTACAAAGAGGAAGTGGTAGTTGTATGTTTTAAAGCATCTAACAGTCACTGACACTTCCA